GGTTTTAACGAACTTATTGTCCCCATCGTATTCCACTTGAACCTGGTTTCTAGACCTATCTACATACCTGCGTACAGAATGCCTCATTCACAAGGTTGCTGTCGCAGAAGAATTGACAATCAATGCTTGAGATTGGAGTTATTGCACCTAGCAATTCACCTTGGAATGCGCCTTAATCCTAGTGCCTAAGAAGGATGGTACTTGGCGTCCAGTAATTGACTTTAGGGAAATTAAACGCAAAAACCATTCCAGATCGCTTTCCACTCCCGTACTGGGTGATCTTTTACGTAAAATCGGAGATAACAAAGTCTTTTCAACCCTTGATTGTTACAAGGGTTTTGGCAATCCCTCTTCACGAGGGCAGCCAAGAGCTAACTGCATTCTCCACTCCTACAGGTCATTACACTTCCTCCGTATGGCATTTGGATTTCGATCTTCCCTATCACTTCTCAAGGCTCATGACTAATATCTTTAGAGGTCTCATAGGTAATGCACTTATGGTGTACTTAGATGACGTAATCGTCATGTCTAAAGACGTGGAAAACACACTTGAAAAGACTTGATGTAAGTACTTGGTAAGCTTGAAGAAGCCAATTTAAAGATAAACTGTCAAATGTCAATTTTTCAGATCAGAAATTAAGTTTCTTGGTCACGTAGTCACTCCTAGAGGGGTTACGACTGACCAAAGTAAAGTAAAATGCAGTACTAAATTTTCCAACTTTCCCCAAAAATGCTGATGCCGTAAGATCCTTTGTGGGCTTAGCAGGTTTTTATAGAGCTTTCATTTTCCAATTTTTCTTCCCTAGCTGCTCCTCTAACTGAGTTGCTTAAGAAAGATGCTCCTTTTGTTTGGACCTTCCGTCAAGAAAGAGCATTCCAAACTCTAAAGAAAAGCTAACTCTGCTCCAATTTTGAAATTTCCAGATTTTTTCTAAGCCTTTCTATCTGACAACTGGCGCTAGTTCAATTGGGATAGGTGCCGTACTAGTCAGAAGACCGATGGGAAATACAACGCAGTTGCATTTGCTAGCCGAGTCCTTTCAAAGGCTGAACGTAATTATACAGTAACTGAGCAAGAAGCTTTAGCAATAGTATGGTCTTTTAAAGCACTTCCCAGACATTATTTATCAGTACTCTGTTCATGTCTTTACAGATCATGTCCAATGTACCCTTATTCCAGAACAAACAACCTACTGGGAAAGGGTTAGCTAGATTGGACCTTTACTATCCAAGAGTTCAATCCCACCTTTGAACATTTACCTGACAAGCAAATGTAGTCGCAGATGCCTTATCGCGACATGTTTGTATAGTAACTGCAGACCCTCCATTTAGTGCTGAAGATGTAAAGAATGCTCAACGAACAGATCCCATGTGGTCTGGTGTGATACGAAATTTCCCGCTCCAGGAAGATCTTATTCTGACTGTGAAGCCAAGCACCCTTATGACCTTTTCATGAACCAAGAATTACTGTATCGAACAGCCGAGTTTTGGGGACTCCCCAGCAGAAGAGTATACCATTAGTAATTTCCACAGTCACTAGTGAATGTAGCCTTACAGCTATTCACGATTTTACCAGGTGTTGCACACCCCGGTATGGATGTTCAGTAAAACAAGCCAGATTTAAATACTTTTGCCTCGTTATGGCAACTGATATTTTGAGTATGTTGGAAATGTAGTGTCTGCATGCAACATAAAGGCAATGCTAATGGGCCTAATCCAATCCAAGTGTATCCAACTACTAGCGAACCTTGGGAAAGAGTTGCGCTAGATTTGTTAACTAATTTCCAATGTTCCCTCCAAGGTAACAAACACTGTGTGTTATGGTAGACCATTTCACCGATATTGTGAGTTTTGTTCCTATTGCAGATAAGACTGCCCAGACAGTAGCTAAAGCGTTTAAAGAACGCATTACTGCAGGGATACCCCTCCTAAGTCCCTAGTAACAGACAATGGAGGGGGAATTCTGTAATGAAATTCTTGAAAATTTGTGTACCTTGTACAAGATCACTAAATCCACCATTTGTTCCTATCATCCTGCCAGCAAAAGGGTTAGCGGAACGAACCAATAAGAAAGTACTTGATGTCTTGAGAGCCAAATATCAATCCCAATAGTGAAACTTGGGGTGAAGTTATACCTGATGTGCAGTGTGCTATAAATTAGCTTACAATGTTTCTTTTAGGTGGGCACCCACATTGCATTGTATGGTGTAGAAAAAACGTTTGCCTTATGAGTTGTTATATTCTAATCCGAAGCCAAATTACAACCCTGATGATTTCGTAGCAACTCGTACCAGCTAGCTCAAGTGTTTTTAGAAGAATCCGTGAAAACACTCATAAATCAACGGCCCGAAAATTTTCAAGAGTCGCAAATACTCGAGTAAAGCCATCCAAATCAAAGTAGGTTCGAGAGTTATGCTGACTAATTTTAACAAAACGTCCTGCTATGCCAAAGCTTGATCAAAGGTTTGTTGGTCCTTATCGAGTAGTTGAACCCTTCATGGTAATAAGTATAAGGTTAGAGAGATTAGTATGGTCAGTATAAAGAATCGCATTTGGATCATATGAGTTAGTATGTGATGATAATGATTTCCAACCCAGATATATGTGACAGACTCTGACAATCCTCCTGATCCCGTACTCTCTTCCTCTGATACTCAGTCAGATGATCAACCGAATGTCGTTATTCCCTACTACACGCAGGGATTGAGAAATCCTCAAGTTTTCATTGTAACTTCCAATTCAGATTTGCCTCAAATGCAGCATGAGTTAGCCATGCTACAGAGTTTGATCCTCCCCGAGATGACACCATTCTGCATATGCCCAAACTTACCCTAGCAGAGTTGGGGTTAATGTAAATAACCTGTATAGATGAATATTACGTATCAACTTATCAGTATTTAAGAATTTTTTTTTTGTGTTCGTGTTCTCTCCGCATTCTGAGAGTTAACAGTCTAGATTTGCGTGCACCCAATCTGCCTTTCTGTTTAAACACTCTTTCTTTTTATATATTCCTTCCTCAGAATCCGTAGATCACACGAATACAGATCCCATCGATCAAATTTTTGTTTTTTTATCACTTGTAATCTCAATGTTGAGTTCGTTGTTCATTTGTTGATTTTAAGTTGTACTATAGTATACCTTGTATTGCATTACAGTTTCAGTTACGTAAGCTTTCATTCCATGTTCTACTTATGTATCTATAATGTTTCATGTTGTGTACTTTGACATTGTATAGGAATCAGGGCCCCAAACCGTGACCTGCCATCTCTAGTTTGTATTAGTTGTATGTCGAGACGACATACGTTTGCGTCGCGAGCTCTCAGTAGTAGTAACGTAGTAACCAGTTTTACAGTCTTAGTAGTAACCAAGTTACCAGTCTCAGTAGTAGTAACCAGTTACCAGTAACCTGTCCGTTGACTCAACGACCAACCGTCTTGAGTCACGGTCTTTCATATTGTGCTGAGCTGACACTAATTCAAAAGACCCACTACGGGGTACTGGCCAGCCGGCTAGGCAGTGTTACGAGTGGAAGCAAGGAGGCAAGGTAGCGGCTGCGGGCTCTGTCCACATATCAGTAATTATACGTATAACAGCCTACGTGAGTATTTCTACCCTAATCCACGTATCGAACTCCCACATGATATACTTACCAAGATTCATCCAGGGCATGGTGAAGTACTTACCAAGATTCATCCAGGGCATGGTGAAGTACTTACCAAGATTCATCCGGCATGGTGAAGTACTTTTCCAAGTTCAACCAGGGCATGGTGAAGTACTTACCAAGATTCATCCAGGGCATGGTGAAGTACTTACCAAGATTCATCCAGGGCATGGTGAAGTACTTACCAAGATTCATCCAGGGCATGGTGAAGTACTTACCAAGGTTCATCCAGGGCATGGTGAAGTACTTACCAAGATTCATCCAGGGCATGGTGAAGTACTTACCAAGATTATCCAGGGCATGGTGAAGTACTTACCAAGGTTCATCCAGGGCATGGTGAAGTACTTACCAAGGTTCATCCAGGGCATGGTGAAGTACTTACCAAGGTTCATCCAGGGCATGGTGAAGTACTTTCAAGGTTATCCAGGGCATGGTGAAGTACTTACCAAGGTTCATCCAGGGCATGGTGAAGTACTTACCAAGATTCATCCAGGGCATGGTGAAGTACTTACCAAGGTTCATCCAGGACATGGTGAAGTACTTACCAAGGTTCATCCAGGGCATGGTGAAGTACTTACCAAGGTTCATCCAGGGCATGGTGAAGTACTTACCAAGGTTCATCCAGGGCATGGTGAAGTACTTCCCAAAGGGTTCATCCAGGGCATGGTGAAGTACTACCAAGGTTCATCTTGGGCAATGGTGAAGTACTTACCAAGGTTATCCAGGCATGGTGAAGTACTTACCAAGGTTCATCCAGGCATGTTGAAAGTACTTACCAAGGTTCATCAGGGCATGTGAAGTACTTACCAAGGTTCATCCGGGGCATGTTAAAAGTACTTCCCAAGGGTTCATCCAGGGGCATGTTGAAGTACTTACCAAGGTTCATCCAGGGCATGTTGAAGTACTTACCAAGGTTCATCCAGGGCATGTTGAAGTACTTACCAAGGTTCATCCAGGGCATGTTGAAGTACTTACCAAGGTTCATCCAGGGCATGGTGAAGTCCCTTACCAAGGTTCATCCAGGGCATGTTGAAGTACTTACCAAGGTTCATCCAGGGCATGTTGAAGTACTTACCAAGGTTCATCCAGGGCATGGTGAAGTACTGACCAAGGTTCATCCAGGGCATGGTTAAGTACTTACCAAGGTTCATCCAGGGCATGGTGAAGTACTACCAGGTTTCATCCAGGGCATGGTGAGTACTGACCAAAGGGTTCATCCAGGGAATGGTTAAGTACTTACCAAGGTTCATCCAGGGCATGGTGAAGTACTTACCAAGGTTCATCCAGGGCATGGTGAAGTACTTACCAAGGTTCATCCAGGGCATGGTGAAGTACTTACCAAGGTTCATCCAGGGCATGGTGAAGTCAACCACTTGTTCTCTCTCGTAAGTGATCGTCAAGTCTCCTATTGCCAAATCAGCTTTCTGTCGCCAGAAGAAATGAAAACACTGTCTTTAAGAACTGGAGATAATGGATGTAGATAAACAACGTAAGAAGGAACGTAGGAAACAATTGATTTTCAAACAGATCTGTCGAAGAGTGGAATAAACTGTCAATTAGGGAATTAGAAACCTTAAGTAGCTTTAAGATGAGATTGAACAAATACATGAGTGTGAGGGGTTGGGATTGATCAGTACCTGAGGTATTGAAGAAAATTATCTGGTAGCTTTGGGAATATAAGAAAAAAGGAATGGAGGTACTGTATAGCAGGCCTACTGGCCCAAACAAGGCCTAGCTTGCTCCAGTGTTCCTCGATTCTTTTGCTTCTATGACTGTATTATAAAAACCAAGTCCTCGAGTATTCTTGCTTTGCTTCTAAGTCTACAACAGCGAATATTCTTCAGTAAATATTATAAGCTAATAATTTCTTTTAAAATATATCATCTTCGTATGAAAACATTTCATATATTTGAGACTGTATCCACTTTTTTTTTTTTAAAGATTCGCCGGTATTCTCCCGGCCCGGACCTTTTCCAAGTGGTGGCCCGGCCTTGGCTCCCTCTTTAGGGAGTGTCTGAGACCTAAGTCTCCCATGGGAGGAGGCACAAGTACCTCCTCATCTTTGGGACCAACTGTCCCCAGGCCTAGCTTGTGGCTAGGCCTCTCTGGTCTGCCATCCCCGCCCCCAAGGGGGCTAATGGGAATGACAGTCTTATGAGCTAAAGGCTCGGGCTCAGGCACCTACCCTACCCTAGAAGGGTTAGGCATGGTGTCGATCTCACTGTATCCACTGATTACATTAATTAAATTTTCATTATTTATAATGAATGGAAGGGTGGTTCATGGGACATCTTTCAACACCGTCTACCATAAGTAACTGTTACTGTATTTCATCATGCAACATGGATACCATACCTGATCTAACAGCTCCCCAATCATTCCATTCCAACTTCTCGTCTGCTCATCACATTTTCCATGGGCGCCATCAGCAGCAATCCTAATTGTGTAATTAAAGCCCAGAACAACCGAAATCTCTTGGATGAGGTCAACACAGAAGCCCTCGTAGCGGTCGTTGCCAGTCATCTGTACAGATGTTTCTCTCAACATAGTGTAAGGCGCAGCCTGGGGAAACACGGACGGTAGAACAACAATACGATATTTTGTAACTGTCGAAATTGGGTTCACGTACAATGCAGCAGCGTGTAAATATTTGGTTACATTGTGGAGGACAAAAATATATTTAGGAAGAATAATAAGACACAATACGGTGACTGGAACAATACACAAATAATTCCCACCTAGGAAAAAGAAGCTTAAGACGACGTTTCGGTCAGTCTTAGAGCATTAACAAGTTACACACTCGAGTGTAGTGTAAGATATATTTTTTTCCTCTACATCACGCAGAATTTCTTGGACAACCGAAACAGTAAACTTTGTCAGCTTGAGCTGGAATTATTCAACATTGCAGCTTCATGGATAAATATTAAGTGTATATTAAGTGTATATTAAGTGTATATTAAGTGTATATTAAGTGTATATTAAGTGTATATTAAGTGTATATTAAGTGTATATTAAGTGTATATTAAGTGTATATTAAGTGTATATTAAGTGTATATTAAGTGTATATTAAGTGTATATTAAGTGTATATTAAGTGTATATTAAGTGTATATTAAGTGTATATTAAGTGTATATTAATCATCTTATACACACTTAAAATAGAATTTACGAGAATACAATTATCATTATGAGAATGTAAGATCGTTCTCCATCTTGACTGTGATACGTAACTGTCGGAGGTACTGTGACTGTCGGAGGTACTGTGACTGTCGGAGGTACTGTGACTGTCGGAGGTACTGTGACTGTCGGAGGTACTGTGACTGTCGGAGGTACTGTGACTGTCGGAGGTACTGTGACTGTCGGAGGTACTGTGACTGTTGGAGGTACTGTGACTGTCGGAGGTACTGTGACTGTCGGAGGTACTGTGACTGTCGGAGGTACTGTGACTGTCGGAGGTACTGTGACTGTCGGAGGTACTGTGACTGTCGGAGGTACTGTGACTGTTGGAGGTACTGTGACTGTCGGAGGTACTGTGACTGTCGGAGGTTACTGGTGACTGTCGGAGTACGTGTGACTGTCGGAGGTACTGTGACTGTCGGAGGTACTGTGACTGTCGGAGGTACTGTGACTGTCGGAGGTACTGTGACTGTCGGAGGTACTGTGACTGTCGGAGGTACTGTGACTGTCGGAGGTACTGTGACTGTCGGAGGTACTGTGACTGTTGGGAGGGACTGTGACTGTCGGAGGTACTGTGACTGTCGGAGGTACTGTGACTGTCGGAGGTACTGTGACTGTCGGAGGTACTGTGACTGTCGGAGGTACTGTGACTGTCGGAGGTACTGTGACTGTCGGAGGTACTGTGACTGTCGGAGGTACTGTGACTGTCGGAGGTACTGTGACTGTTGGAGGTACTGTGATCTGTCGGAGGTACTGTGACTGTCGGAGGTACTGTGACTGTCGGAGGTACTGTGACTGTCGGAGGTACTGTGACTGTTGGAGGTACTGTGACTGTCGGAGGTACTGTGACTGTCGGAGGTACTGTGACTGTTCGGAGGTACTGTGACTCTCGGAGGTACTGTGACTGTCGGAGGTACTGTGACTGTCGGAGGTACTGTGACTGTCGGAGGTACTGTGACTGTCGGAGGTACTGTGACTGTCGGAGGTACTGTGACTATCGGAGGTACTGTGACTGTCGGAGGTACTTGTGACTGTCGGAGGTACTGTGACTGTCGGAGGTACTGTGACTGTCGGAGGTACTGTGACTGTCGGAGGTACTGTGACTATCGGAGGTACTGTGACTATCGGAGGTACTGTGACTGTCGGAGGTACTGTGACTGTCGGAGGTACTGTGACTCTCGGAGGTACTGTGACTGTCGGAGGTACTGTGACTGTCGGTCGGAGGTACTGTGATTGTCGGTCGGAGGTACTGTGACTATCGGAGGTACTGTGACTGTCGGAGGTACTGTGACTATCGGAGGTACTGTGACTGTCGGAGGTACTGTGACTATCGGAGGTACTGTGACTATCGGAGGTACTGTGACTATCGGAGGTACTGTGACTATCGGAGGATAACTGTGACTATCGGAGGTACTGTGACTATCGGAGGTACTGTGACTGTCGGAGGTACTGTGACTGTCGGAGGTACTGTGACTCTCGGAGGTACTGTGACTGTCGGAGGTACTGTGACTGTCGGTCGGAGGTACTGTGACTGTCGGTCGGAGGTACTGTGACTGTCGGAGGTACTGTGACTATCGGAGGTACTGTGACTATCGGAGGTACTGTGACTCTCGGAGGTACTGTGACTGTCGGAGGTACTGTGACTATCGGAGGTACTGTGACTGTCGGAGGTACTGTGACTGTCGGAGGTACTGTGACTATCGGAGGTACTGTGACTGTCGGAGGTACTGTGACTGTCGGAGGTACTGTGACTGTCGGAGGTACTGTGACTCTCGGAGGTACTGTGACTGTCGGAGGTACTGTGACTATCGGAGGTACTGTGACTGTCGGAGGTACTGTGACTATCGGAGGTACTGTGACTATCGGATGTGACTGTCGGAGGTACTGTGACTATCGGAGGTGCTGTGACTGTCGGAGGTACTGTGACTGTCGGTCGGAGGTACTGTGACTGTCGGTCGGAGGTACTGTGACTGTCGGAGGTACTGTGACTATCGGAGGTACTGTGACTATCGGAGGTACTGTGACTGTCGGAGGTACTGTAACTATCGGAGGTACTGTGACTATCGGAGGTACTGTGACTATCGGAGGTACTGTGACTGTCGGAGGTACTGTAACTATCGGAGGTACTGTGACTATCGGAGGTACTGTGCTTCATAAATATTATTTGCTTACTTGTAATTGTTTTAATTGGTTTCTGTAACCTAACCTGGTTAAATGGTACAGAGAACCAACAAGTTGATAAATTAGACACATGTGCAACTCTTGGGTATCTTTATTGAGGAAACGTTTCGCCACACAGTGGCTTCATCAGTCCATACAAAGGAGAATGGTGAAAAACTGAAGGAGTTAGGGGTAATCACTCCCTCAGTCTGGAGTCCATGTAATCAGTCATCAGTCTTGATGACTGAAGTAAGTCATGACTGAACGTTAGGCAATTGAAAAATTTCCTGTATTAAGATGCCAAGGTGTTGCTGTGTCTGGCAGGAATATAGATATATGATTCAGAGAACCGACGAGTTCTCTGCAACTTCTTCGTGTATATGTTGTATTCTCTTCAAGAATGATGGACTGATTACCTCAAACTCATTCTGTTCTTCACCATTCTCCTTGGTAGTGACTGATGAAGTCACTGTGTGCGAAACGTTTCCTCAGTAAAGATACACAAGTGTTGCACATGGGTCTAATTTATCAACCTAACCTAACCATATATAACATATTCCAGTCTAACCTGTCCTATGTTGATTTACGTTGAACTAATCTCAAACAAGAAATTCACTTTTTTTGTGGCTTCCAGAAATAATGCTTTTATTGAGAATGAGTTTTCTCTCTCTCTCTCTCTCTCTCTCTCGCTAATCTTAGGTTTGCCAATCGCCCATAAGCTGCACCAGTTATTTGGTTGATGTGCGCCTCAGGAAATGTGTTCGGTATTATACTCAATCAAAGATTCATTTTCTTTGAGTGAGGTTTCATTCTTTGGCCCCCTAGCCTGTACTCTGTTTGCGGTCTTCTTTATCCTTCCACAATCTTTAAGACTTTGCACCGGGTGGCGTTAAACTCCAAAAGCTAGTTGCTGGAAATATTATACAACCTGTCTAGATCCCTTTGTAGTCATGCCTGATTCTCATTCGATTGAATTCTCCTCATTAGCTTAACATCGTCTGCAAACAAGTACACTTCTGAATCTATTCGTTTCGTTCCGTCATGTAATTCACATATACCAGAAACGGAACTAGTCTTTGGACTGGCCCCTGTGGCACCCCGCTCCTCATAGGCGCCCACGCTGACACCTGGACATGTACCAAGACTCGTTGTTGCCTTCCTATCAGGTATTCTTTGATCCAGTGCAGTGCCTTTCCTGTTATACTTGCCTGATCATGTAACTTTTGCACTATCTTGTGTGGAACTGCGTCGAAAGCCTTCCTGCAGTCCAAGAAAATACAATCTACCCACCTCTCTCTCTCTCTCTCTCTCTCTTCTCTCTCTCTCTCTCTCTCTCTCTCTCTCTCTCTCTTTCTCTCTCTCTACCCCTTACACACACACATACACAGAAGTTGAAGGTGTGGTATACAAATGCAGATGGAATAACAAATAAATATGAGGAGTGGCATGAAAGAATCAAGGAGACATCCCCAGACATAATAGCACTCACAGAAACAAAACTCACCAGAATAACAGATTCAATCTTTCCATCCAGATATCAAATCCTTAGGAAAGACAGAGGGAGGAGAGGGGGAGGAGGAGTTGCACTGCTCATTAAAAACCAGTGGGGGTTTGAGAAAATGGAAGGAATGGATGGCACGGGCGAAAGGGACTACTTAGTAGGAACTATCCAGTCTGAGGGACATAAGGTGATAATTGCAGTAATGTACAACCCACCACAGAACTGCAGGAGGCCAAGAGAAGAATACGATGAGAGCAACAGAGCAATGGTCGACACACTAGCCGAGGTGGCCAGGAGAGCACACATGGGGGGAGCAAAGTTACTAGTTATGGGTGATTTCAATCACAAGGAGATAGACTGGGAAAACCTGGAGCCCCATGGGGGTCCCGAAACATGGAGAGCCAAGATGATGGATGTGGTACTGGAAAACCATGCATCAACATGTTAGAGACACTACCAGAGAGAGAGGAGAGGATGAACCTTGATTAGTTCGGACATCGAGGATATCATGCTTGAAAGGCCCCTGGGAGCTAGTGATCATGTGGTTCTGTGCTTCGACTACACAGTTGAGCTCCAAGTGGAGAGAGTAGCAGGAATAGGTTGGGAAAAACCAAACTACAAAAGGGGGAGCTACTCAGGCATGAGGAACTTCCTTCAAGACATTCAGTGGGAGTGGGAACTGACAGGAAAACCAGTACAAGAAATGATGGACTATGTGGC